AGTTCTTAATGACTTACAAAAGGACTTAGACTCCCACACAATAATAGTGGGAGACTTTAACACTCCACTGTCAATACTAGACAGATCAACCAGACAGAAAATCAACAAGGATATCCAGGGCTTGAACTCAGACCTGGAGCAAGGAAACCTGACAGACATTTACAGAACTCTCCACCCCAAATCCACAGAATACACATTCTTCTCAGCACCACATCACACCTACTCTAAAATTGACCACATAATTGGAAGTAAAGGACTGCTCAACAAATGCAAAACAACTGAAATCATAACAAACAGCCTCTCAGACCATAGTGCAATCAAGTTAGAACTCAGAATTCAGAAACCGACCCAGAACCACACAGCCTCATGGAGACTGAACAACTGGCTCTTGAATGTTGACTGGGTAAACAACGAAATGAAGGCAGAAATAAAGAAGTTCTTCGAAACCAATGAGAATGAAGACACAACGTGCCAGAACCTCTGGGACACATTTAAAGCAGTCTCTAGAGGAAAGTTTATAGCAATAAGTGCCCATATGAGGAGAATGGAGAGATCCAAAATTGACACCCTATCGTCAAAATTGAAAGAGCTAGAGGAGCAAGATCAAAAAAACTCAAAACCCAGCAGAAGACAAGAAATAACTAAGATCAGAGCTGAGCTGAAGGAGATTGGGACACGAAAAACCCTTCAAAAAATCAATAAATCCAAGAGCTGGCTTTTTGAAAAGATCAACAAAATAGACAGACCACTAGCCAGATTGATTAAAAAGAAAAGAGAGAACAACCAAATAGATGCAATAAAAAATGATAAAGGGGAAATCACCACAGATTCCACAGAAATTCAAACCATCATCAGAGAATATTACAAACAACTCTATGCGCATAAACTAGTAAACCTGGAAGAAATGTATAAATTCCTGGACTCCTGTGTCCTCCCAAGCCTAAACCAGGAGGAAGCTGAAACTATGAATAGACCAATAACAAGGTCTGAAGTTGAGGCAGCAATTAAGAGCCTACCACACACAAAAAAGCCCAGGTCCTGACGGGTTCACAGCCGAATTCTACCAGACACACAAGGAGGAGCTGGTACCATTCCTTCTAAAACTATTTCAAACAATCCAAAAAGAGGGAATCCTTCCCAAGTCATTTTATGAGACCAACATCATCCTGATACCAAAACCCGGCAGAGACCCAACGAGAAAAGAAAACTTCAGGCCAATATCCATGATCAACATAGATGCAAAAATCTTCAATAAAATATTGGCAAGCCGATTGCAACAGCAAATCAAAAAACTTATTCATCATGATCAAGTAGGATTCATCCCAGGGATGCAAGGCTGGTTCAACATACGCAAGTCTATCAACGTAATTCACCACATAAACAGAACCAAAAACAAAAACCACACGATTATCTCAATTGACGCAGAGAAGGCATTTGACAAAATTCAACAGCCCTTTATGCTAAAAACCCTCAATAAACTCGGTATCGATGGAACGTATCTCAAAGTAATAAAAGCTATTTATGACAAACCAACAGCCAATATCATACTGAATGGGCAAAAACTGGAAGCATTCCCTTTAAAATCTGGCACTAGACAAGGAGGCCCTCTCTCACCACTCCTATTCAATATAGTACTGGAAGTTCTAGCCAGAGCAATCAGGCAAGAAAAAGAAATAAAGGGTATTCCAACAGGAAAGGTGGAAGCCAAATTGCCTCTATTTGCAGACGACATGATAGTACACCTAGAAGACCCCATCGCCTCAGCCCAAAAACTTCTGAAACTGATAAGCAACTTCAGCAAAGTCTCAGGATATAAAATCAATGCACAAAAATCACAAGCATTCGTCTACACCAATAACAGACTTAAAGAAAGCCAAATCAAGAGCGAACTGCCGTTCGCAATTGCTACAAAAAGAATAAAATACTTTGGAATACAACTCACAAGGAATGTAAGAGACCTCTTCAAGGAGAACTACAAACCACTGCTCAACGAAATCATAGAGGACACAAACAGATGGAGAAACATTCCATGTTCATGGTTAGGAAGAATTAATATCGTGAAAATGGCTATACTGCCCAAAGTAATTTACAGAATCAACGCTATCCCCATCAAGCTACCATTGACTTTCTTCACAGAACTGGAAAAAACCACCATGAACTTCATATGGAACCAAAAGAGAGCCCGCATAGCCAAGTCAATTCTAAGCAAGAAGAACACAGCGGGGGGCATCACACTACCGGATCTCAAACTATACTACAAGGCTACAGTAATCAAAACAGCATGGTACTGGTACCAAAACAGAGATATAGACCAATGGAACAAAACAGAGGCACCGGAGGCAACACAACATACATACAACTATACAATCTTTGATAAACCTGACAAAAACAAGCAATGGGGCAAGGATTCCATGTTTAACAAATGGTGTTGGGAAAACTGGCTAGCCATGTGCAGAAAGCAGAAACTGGACCCCTTCCTGACACCTTACACTAAAATTAACTCCAGATGGAGTAAAGACTTAAAGATAAGACCTGGCACCATAAAAACCCTAGAAGGAAATCTAGGCAAAACCATCCAGGACATAGGAGTAGGCAAGGACTTCATGAACAAAACACCAAAAGCATTGGCAACAAAAGCCAAAATAGACAAATGGGACCTAATCAAACTCCACAGCTTCTGCACGGCAAAAGAAACAGTAACTAGAGTGGATCGGCAACCAACAGAATGGGAAAAAGTTTTTGCAGTCTACCCATCTGACAAAGGGCTGATATCCAGAATTTACCAAGAACTCAAACAGGTTTATAGGAAAAAAACAAACAAGCCCATTCAAAAGTGGGCAAAGGATATGAACAGATACTTTACGAAAGAAGACATATATGAGGCCAGCAATCATATGAAAAAATGCTCATCGTCACTGGTCATCAGAGAGATGCAAATCAAAACCACATTGAGATACCATCTCACGCCAGTTAGAATGGCGATCATTAAAAAATCTGGAGACAACAGATGCTGGAGAGGATGTGGAGAAAAAGGAACACTTTTACACTGTTGGTGGGAGTGTAAATTAGTTCAACCATTGTGGAAGACGGTGTGGCGATTCCTCAAGGCCTTAGAAATAGAAATTCCATTTGACCCAGCAATCCCATTACTGGGTATATATCCAAAAGACTATAAATCGTTCTGCTATAAGGACACATGTACACGAATGTTCATTGCAGCACTGTTTACAGTAGCAAAGACCTGGAATCAACCCAAATGCCCATTGATAATAGACTGGATTGGAAAAATGTGGCACATATACACCATGGAATATTATGCAGCAATCAGAAATGATGAGTTTGTGTCGTTTGTAGGGACATGGATGAATCTGGAGAACATCATCCTCAGCAAACTGACACAAGAACAGAAAATGAAACACGGCATATCCTCACTCATAGGTGGGTGATGAAAAATGAGAACACATGGACACAGAAAGGGGAGTACTAAACACTGGAGTCTATTGGGGGGAAAAGGGGAGGGCCAGTGGGAGGGGGAGGTGGGGAGGTATAGCCTGGGGAGAAATGCCAAATGTGGGTGAAGGGGAGAAGAAAAGCAAAGCACACTGCCATGTGTGTACCTACGCAACTGTCTTGCATGCTCTGCTCATGTACCCCAAAACCTAAAATCCAATAAAAAATTAAAAAAAAAAAAAAAGAAACTTCAGGTGGAAAGAGTGCTGTAGAAGCAGCACAGAATCCCAGTCCTCTTCTGGGCTAACAGGAAACAGGTGAGTCTCCCCAAATGTGGTATCCTGGTCATCTGCAGAACACCTCTGCCTGTGTGTCCATGGGCTGATCTCTCACCTGAGGGTCCTAGTGCTGGAAAACAGAAACCAGCAGCTTGAGAGCCTGCCTGGGTGAGTGATACTCTGCCACTTCTGTGTTTCTGTGTGTGGAAGGGGTGTGGTTTGTGTATTTGCGCTTGTGTATCTCTCTCTGATTTCTCACTCTTGTTTTCCACTCCCTCTCTTTCTCATTCTATGCATCTGTGTGTGTGTGTGTGTGTGTGTGTGTGTGCATGTGTTTTGGGATGTATTTGCCCTGTGCATCAGAGGGCGGTGTCTTGCACAATGGCCTCTCTTTTGCTGAGCCTCTCACAGGGTCTTCGCCTGGGTCCCGGGGCCAGTCGTCAGTCTTTTCCCTGGTGATTCTACCTGGTGTTTGTGAAGGCCTGGAGGTAGCTGCCTTGGATCAGCATGGGTTTCAGTCACCTCCCCATCCTGAGTGGCCTCTTCCTTAGGACCAAGACAATCAGACCCCCCAGCCATGGACAAAAGCCTCACCACAGCTCACTGTCCACCTGCAGGTGGGCTGCCCACCAACCTCAAAGAGGATGGTTCTTACTTGTCTCTCCTTTGTGCTCATTGAATAATATAGCCATAGCTTGACACAGGGCCAGAACAGGGTGCCAAGAATGAGATGTGGCAAGCATCTCTGTCACTCCAACACTGGCCTTTCTGACCAAGTCAACCATTTGGCACTCCCCACTGCCCCCCTATTACTGTGGAGGTGGCAGTGTGCTGTATTTGGCCTCTGCTCTGGCCTAGGCACTGTACTCTGTCTTTCAATGTCTGCCCACTTCTGAGAACCCTAGAGGTTTCTTCGTCTGGCTCAGTGTCTTCAACAGAGAACATTCTCTAGTCCAGCAAGAAGAAACCTTGTGCAGATGCCTTTCATGTCCGTTTGCCCCTCCAAACCTGCTTCTGAATGATTGGGCAAGTGTGATGATCATGGAGCTTTGATCTTCCATCCCTGTGGGACCGGGACACTCTCTCAGTCTCCATGTACCACTGGATTGTTGCCTGGCTGGTCTTTGCCCACTACACAGGTGGTGTTCCAATTCGCCTGTTGTTTCTATCTCATTTTTGAGGGCCTTTTGGCTCCTCTGCGCCTTAAGAAAGTGCCTTCAAGCGCTGAATTTTTTGGTCGCTACGGATGCCAGGGAAGCATCAAAAGTGATTAGGTTTTGCTGCGTGCAGAAGAGATTGCAGTGGCAGTGTGGGTAAACCACATAATGGAGCCCATGGGATCACTCTGCACCCAAGTGAGGTCCTTCCTGCCTCTCTCCATTGTAATCCCATTCCCACTTACCCAGGTTGGATCAAAAATGGCATCAGAGCCAATCAGGTGCCCTGAATTTTCTCTTCCCCCAGCAGCCAAAACAGAAGACTGCTTGTTTATCGAGGCCCTGAGGACATGAGTCCTATGGGTTTAAACATGGCTTGGTCTCCCACAGGCCCCTCTCCCTGTGCTCCACAATCCCGCCCCTTATCGTGACACATTCTTTGTGCTACTTCCACTCAAGTCACTTCTTGAAAAGGCCACAGACTGACTTCCCACAGCCAGTCACAAGTCAAGTCAAACTCGCCAGTGTGCATGCACAAGGGTCAAGCCCTTCCACGGGTCATAGTGATGTTCCTGTTGCCCAGGTGATGGGTTCTTGAGATGTCACAAAGGAGGAGCATCAGAAACGGGGCTGAGGACCCTCCTCATCAGGACATCCACAGGATAGTCTCCAGAGACCAGGATTCTCCGAAGCTGGGCCAGTAGGAAGAAACCTTAGGCAGAGAGTTTGCTGGGGAAGCAGCACGAAATCCCAGTCTCAAGCCTGAGAGTACAAAGTATAGGTGAGTCTCCCCAAATGTCATGCCCTGGTCATCTCCAGGACCCCTCTGGCTGTGCCCATGGGCTGCTCTCTCACCAGAGGGTCATAGAGGCGAACAATAGAACCCTGCAGCTTCAGGGGCTACCTGGGGGTGAGTGATACTCTGGTTCTTCTGTGTCTCTGTGTGTCAAAGGGGTCTTGTTTGTGCATGTGCACCTGTATGTCTCTCTCTGATTTATCTCTCTCTTCTTTCCCACTCCCTGTCTTTCTCACTCTCCTTGTCTGTGTGTGTGCATGTGTGTGTGTGTTGGGAAGCATGTGGCCTGTGACCGGAGGGTGGTCTCTTGCATGACTGCCTCTTTTTGGTGAGCCTCACCCTGTGTCTCTGCCTGGATAGCGTGGCCAGTCGAAAGTCATTTCCCCTGAGGTCCAGCTGGCATTTTGAAGGCCTGGACAATGTGGGTACAGAGGTGCATCAGATCATCATGGCTTTCAGTCTCCTCCCCATCCTGAGCAGCCTCTTTCTTAGGACCAAGACAACCACAACACACAGCCATGGACAAAGACCTTACCACAGCTAACTCTTGCCTTGCAGGAGGGCTGCCCACCAACCTCAAAGAAGATGCTTCCCACTTCTCTCGACTTTGCCCTCATTGAGAAATCTAGCCACACCTTGACACAGGGCTGGAACAGGGTGCCAAGAAAGGATGTGGCAAGTATCTCAGTCACTCCAACACTTGTCTTTCTGGCCAAGTCAACCATTTGGTATTCCACCCCATCTTGGATGCCCATGGCAGTGGCATTGTGCTGTATTTGGCCTTTACTCTGGCCTAGGCCCTACCTTTTCTCTTTCTCTGTCTGCCCCATTTCTGAGAAGCCTAGAGGCTTCCTAGTCTGGCTCAATGTCTTCAAAAGACAACACTCCCCACTCCAGCACAAAAATACATTGTGGGGATGCGTTTCATGTTCTTTTCCCCCTCCACTGAGTTTCTGGATAATGGGGCAGGTGAGATGATCGTGGATTTCTGGGCTTCCATCCCCGTGTTGGACAGGGATACTCTCTTAGCCTCCATGTACCACTGGATAGCTGCCTGGCTGGACTTTGCCAGGCAGCTATCCAGTGGTACATGGAGACTAAGAGAGCGTTTGGGACCACCCCCCGATGCACGCTTAGGTGGCAGTGTATTGTATTTGGCCTGGACTCTGGGCTAAGCTCTGTCCTTACTCTTTCTCTGTCTGCCATGTTTTGGAGAAGCCTAGAGACTTCTTGGTCAGGCTCAGTGTCTTCCATAGAGAACGCTCCCCAGTCCAGCTGGGGGACACCTTGTGGGGATGTGTTTCATGTCTGTATACCATTCAAAGCTCTTTCTGGATGATTGGGCAGGTGTGATGATCATAGAGCTCTGAGCTTCCATCCCCATGTGGGACAGGAATGCTCTCTAAGCCTCCATGCCCACTGGATGGCTGCCTGATTGTAGTTTGCCCTCTCCACAAAGTGATTTTGCAGTTCACCTACCCTACCTCTCTCATTCTTGATGACTATCTTGTTCCTCTTCTCTTGTGTAAGGTGCCTTCAAGCACTGAACGTTTCAGCTGCCATGGATGCCAGGGAGTGGTCCAAAGGAATTTGGTTTCACTTGGTGCAGGGGATGTTTTGTCCAAGATACCTGCCAGGTGGCAGTGCATGGTCACTATGCCTTGGAGCTCATGGCATCTCTCTCTGCCACAGCAATATCCTTCCTGCCTCTCTCCATTGTAATCCCATTCTTGCTTACCCAGGTGGGATCCGACATGAGATCAGAGGTGGAGTCCAGAGACCCCATCAGGCACCCCGAATTTCCTCTTCCAATGGAAGCCTAAGCAGAAGACCACTTACATGTGGAGGCAATGAGGGTATGAGTCCTATGGGTTTGGCCCTGGCTTGGTCTCTCACACGCTCCTTTCCCATGCTTCCAAAAACCTGCCACTTTTGCCATCATTTTCTCTGTCACTACCTCTGCTGCAGCTATTTCTTTCTTTCTTTTTTATTTATTTATTTATTTTATTATTGCATTTTAGGTTTTGGGGTACATGTGAAGAACATGCAAGATTGCTGCACAGGTCCATACATGGCAGTGTGATTTTCTGCCTTCCTTCTTTAAGAAGCCTGACAGCCCAGAGCCAGGCGCGAGTCAAGACACCTCACCAGTGCACATACACGCGTCACAATTGGCTATTCAGGTCATAGTGACATTCATCATCGCTCAGTGATAGTTTGCTAAGGCATTACAAAGGAGGAGCCCTCTGTGGCAGCCTGTAAAAAATGGGGATCAGGCCCCTCCTCACCAGGACATCCACAGTATATTCTTCAGAGGCCAGGATTTCCTGAAGGTGGGACAAAAAGAGGAGACATCATGCAGAGGGAATTCTTGGGAAGCAACGCAGAATCCCAGTCTCAGGCCAGTGATGACAGGATACAGGTGAGTCTCCCCAAATATCTTGCCCTGGTAATCTCTCAAACACCTCTGCCTGTTTGCCTGTGGGCTGCTCTCTCATCTGAGGCTCTCAGTGGTGGACAACACCTCCAGGTGCTGCCTATAGATGAGTGATATTCTGCCACTGCTCTGTGTGTGTGTGTGTGTGTGTGTGTGTGTGTGTGTGTGCATATATGCCTCTGATTTCTCTCTCTTCTTTCCTGCTCCCTCCCTTTCTTACTGCATCTGTGTGTGATGCAGGCATATGTGTGTGTGTGTGTGTGTGTGTGCCCCTGTGCCCTATGCACCAGAGAGAGGTTTCTTGCATGAAGGTCTCTCTTGCTGAGTACCTCCCATTGTCTCTGCCTGAGTCACATGGCTGGTCATCAGTCGTTTCCCAGCTGCTCCAACTGGCATTTGTGAAGGCCTGGACAATGTGGGGAGGGAGCAGCATTGGACCAGCATGGATTTCAGTCACCACCCAATCCTGAGTAGCCTCTTTCTTAGGAGCAAGGCCACAACACCCCCAGCCGAGGACAAAATCCTCATCACAGCTCACTGTCCACCTGCAGGAGGGCTGCCCACCAACCTCAAAGAATATGGTTCTCATTTCTCTCACCTTTTCCCTTATAAAGAAATCTAGCCACAACTTGACACAGGGCCAGACCCAGGTATCAAGAATGGGATGTTGCAAGCATCTCCGTCACTCCAACACTGGCCTTTCTGTCAAAGTCAAACATTTGTCACTACCTACCCTGGATGCCTGTGGAGGTGGCATTGTGCTGTATTTGGTCTGGACTCTGTCCTCCCTCTTTCTCTGTCAGCCCAGTTTCTGACAAGCCTAGATTCTTCATAGTCTGAATCACTGTCTTCAACAGGGAATACTCTTCAGAACAGAAGGGGGAAACTTCGTGGGGATGTGTTTCATGTCTGTTTCCCCCTCCAAAGCTGTTTCTGAATGATTGGACAACTAGGATAAGCAGAGAGCCCTGGGCTTAAATCATGTGGGACAGAAATGCTCTCTCAGCCTCCATGTGCCACTAGATGGCTGCTTGGCTGGCCACTGCCTTCACCACAAGGCAGTGTTGCAATTCCCCTGCCCTTCCTCTCATTCTTGAGGGTCATTCAACTCTTCTGATCCTGGGGAAAGTGATTTCAAACACTGGATCTTTTGGCTGCCACAGATGCCAGGGAGCAGGTCAAAGGGATTTGGTTTTGCTGGTTGCTGGGGAGGCTTCATCCTAGGTACCTGGCAGGTGGCAGGGTGGGGACACCATGCCTTGGAGCCCATGGCATCTCTTGGTACCCCAGCGAGGTCCTTCCTGCGTCTCTCCATTGTAATCCCATTCCTGCTTATCCAGGTGGGATCCAAAATGGCATCCAAGGCAGAGTCCAACAGCCCATTGGGAGCTCTCAATCTCCTCTTCTGCCAGGAGCAGAGGTAAAAGACTGCTCACTCGTGGAGGCTCTGACACGAGTCCTATCGGTTTGAACCTGGCAAGGTCTCCCACATGCCCCTCTCTGAGGTGTCCTCAATCTCACAGCTTTCGCCTCCACTTTCTCCACCACCACCTCCACCATGGCCATTCCTTAAAGGGGTCACAGCCTGACTTCCCGGAGCCAGGAGAGAGTTGAGTTGGCCTTGCCAGTGCACATGCTAGAGGCACAAGCCACTCCTCAGGTCATAGCGAGGTTCACCATTGCCCCAGTGATGGGTTTATAAGAGGCCACAAAGTAGGAGACCCCTGTGAGAGTGTGTCGGGTACAGGGCTCAGGCCCCTCCTTGCCAGGATGTCCACAGTATACACTCCGGAGTCCAGGTTTGCTGAACGTGGGCCAAGAGGAAGAAATCTCAGGCAGAGGTAGGGCCTGAAAAGCAGCACGGAATCCCAGTCTCAGTCCTGCACCAATGGGATACGAGTGAATCTCCCAAAGGTCAGGCCTTGATCATCTCCAGGACACCTCTGCCTGTGTTTCTGAGGGCTGCTTTCCTCACTTGAGGGTCCTAGTGGTGAACAACAGAACTCTGCAGCTTCAGGGGCTTCTGGGGTAGAGAGATGCTCTGCCACTACTGTATGTCAGTGTGTGTGTTAGGGGTCTTGTTACTGTGTGTGCACCTTTATGTCTCTCTCTGATTTCTCTCTCTCTTCTTTCCTGCTGCCTTTCTTTCTTACTCTCTGTGTCCGTGTGTGTGTGTGTGTGTGTGTGTGTGTGTGTGTGTGTGTGTGTGTTGGGACACATGAACCCTGTGCAGTAGAGGGAGGTTTCCTGAACAACAGCCTCTCTTTTGCTGAGACTCTCCCCGCATCTCTGCTGGGTCGCATGGCCAGTCATCACTGGTTCCAGATATCATTTGTGAAGGCCTGGACATTGCGGGGAGGGAACTGTGTTGGACAAGCACGGGTTTGACTCAACTCTTCATTCTGAGTGGCCTCATTTTTAGGACCAAGAAGATCACACCCCCCAGCTATGGACAAAAGTCTCCCCAAAGCTCACTGACTGCCAGCAGGTAGGCTGCCCACCTACCTCAAAGAAGATGATTCTCACTTTTCTCACCTTTGCACTCATTGAGAAATCTAGCCACAGTTCAACACAGGGCCTTAATAGGGAGACAAAAATGGAATGTGGCAAGCATCTCTGTCAATACAATGCTAGCCTTTCTGGCCATCTCAACCATTTGGCACTCCCCCCACCCAATGTCTGTGGTGTTGGCGTTGTGCTGTATTTGGCCTGGACTCTGGCCTAGGCTCTGTCCTCCCTCTTTCTCTGTCTGCCCTGTTTTTGAGAAGACTAGAGTCTTTTTGGCCTGTCTCAGTGTCTTCAACAGAGAACACTCTCCAGTCCAGGAGGGGGAAACCTCATGGGAATGTGTTTTATGTCCGTTTCCCCCTCCAAACCTGTTTCTGGATAATTGGTCAGGTGCAATGGTCATGGAGCTCTGGGTTTCCAACCCGTATGGGACACAGATGCTCTCTCAGCCTCCATGTCCCACTGATGGCTGCCTGGCTGGCCTCTGCCCTCTCCACAAGGCAGTGTTGCAATTCACCTACCCTTTCTCTGTCATTCTTGAGGGCCATCTAGCTCTTCTGCTCCTGGGGAAAGTGCCTCCATGTACTGAATCTTTTGGCTGCCACTGATGCCAGGTAGCAGGCCAAAGAGATTGGATATTGCTGAGTGAAGGGGAAGTTTCATCCAGCATCCCTGATGAGTGGTGGGGGAACACAATGACATGTGGCTCATGGGATCTCTCTGTGCCAGAGCCAGGCCTTTTCCGCCTGTCTTCATTGCAATCTCATTCGATGTGGAGTCTGGAGAGCCCATCGGGTTGCCTTGAATCTCCTATTCTGCTGGGATGTGAAGCAGAAGAACTCTCACTTTTGGAGGCCCTGAGGACACGAGTTGAATGGGTTTGACCCTGGCTTGGTCTTGCGCACGCCTCTTTCCCAGGCCTCTTGAAACCCTCTGCTTTCGCTACCACTGTCTCCGCCAAAACCTTTGTTTCAGCCACATCTTAAAGGGGCGGCAGCCTGGCTTCCTGGAGCAGCTCAATTCGAATCACCTCACCAGTGCTAATGCACAAGAAATAAGCCGCTGCTCAGCTCATATTGACATTCACTGTTGCCCCGGTGATGGGTTCCTGAGACATCACAAAGGAGGAGCCTCCGGTGGCAGTGTGTCAGGAACATGGCTCAGGCCCCTCCTTGCCAGTATATCCACAGGATAGTCTCCAGAGGCCAGGATTCACTGAAGGGGGTCCAGGAGGAAGAGGGTTCAGATGGAGGGAGCTCCAGGAAAGAGGTGCAGAATCCCAGTCTCAGGCCTGCAACGATGGGGTACAGGTGAGTCTCCCAAAATGTCATGTCCTGGTCATCTGCAGGACACCTCTGCCTGTGTGCCCATGAGTTGCTCTCTCACCCTGGGGCTCTAGTGATGGACAACAGAACCCTGCAGCTTCAGGGCTGCCTGGTTGTGAGACATCCTATGCCACTGCTCTGTGTCTATGTGTGTGGAAGGGATGTTGTTTGTGTGTGTACCTGTAAATCTCTCTCTGATTTCTTTCTCATCTTTCCCACTCCCTCTTTCTCACTCTCTGTGTCTGTGTGTGTGTGTTTGTGTGTGTGTGTTGGCACACGTGTGCCCTGTATGCCTGAGAGCAGTTTCTTTAACAACAGCCTATTTTACTGAGCCTCTCCCCTCGTCTTTGCCACAGTTGTGTTGCTGGTTGTCAGTTGTTTCCCAAGTGGTTATAGCTGGCATTTGTGAAGTCCTGTGGAAGGTGGGGAGGGAGCTGCATCAGATCAGCATGGGTTTTAGTCACCTCCCCATCCTGAGCATCCTCTTTTTTAGGACCAAGATGACCACATCCCTCAGCCATAACAAATGCCTCACCACAGCTCATTGTCCACCTGCAGGAGGGCTGCCCACTGACCTCAAAGAAGATGGTTCTTGCTTTTCTCCCCTTTGCCCTCATTGAGAAATCTAGCCACAGCTCAACACAGGGCCCGTACAGGACTCCAAGAACAGGATATAGCAAGCATCTCTCTCATTGCAATGCTGGCTATTCTGGCCAAGTCAATCATTTCACACTCTCACCCCCTGGATGCCCATGGAGATGGCATTGTGTTGTATTTTTCCTGGACTCTGTACTAGGCTCTCTCCTCCCTCTTTCTCTGTCTTCCCTATTTCTGGGAAGCCTAGAGGTTCAGTGTCTTCAACAGAGAACACTCCCAAGTCCAGCAGGGGGAAACCTCGTGGGGATGCATTTTATGTCCGTTTACCCTTCAAACCTGGGCAATGATAGTGGTGCTCTGGGCTTCCATCCCAGTGAGGGGCCGGGATGCTCTTTCAGTTCTCCATGCCTCATTGGATGGCTGCCTGGCAGGCAGCCATAAGGCAGTAGTGTTGCAATTCTTCTGCCATTTCTCTCTCATTCTTGAGGGCCATCTGGCTCCTTTGCCCTGGGGAAAATGCCTTCAAGCACTTAAATTTTGGGCTGCCACAGATATGAGGGAGTGGGGCCAAAGGGATTGGGTTCTCTGGGTCAGGGTAGGTTGTGTCTGAGGAACTTGCAGGGTTGGTGGATGGGGACACCATGCCTTGGGGCTCATGAGATCTCTCTCTGCCTGAGCAAGCCCTTCTGCCTTTCTCCATTGTAATCTCATTCTCGCTTACCCAAGTGGGATCCACCACAGGGACCCTCAGGTCAGAGAGCAGCCCACAGGTAATCAGGCAGAGGTGTCCTGGAGATGACAAGTGCAGGGACATTTGGGGAGACTCACCTGTACCCCATTGGTGCAAGCCTGAGGGGGATTCCTAGCGGCTTCCCCAATGTTATCTCCCCCCGAGGTTTCTTCCTCCTGGCCCACCTTCAGCAATCCTGGCCTCCTGAGACTTTCCTGTGGACATCCTGTCGAGGAGGGGCTTGAGCCCCATTCCTGACACACTGACACAGGGGATTCCTCCTTTTTTATTTCTCAGGAACCCATCACTGGGGCAATGGTGAACCTCATGTTGACCAGATGAGTGGCTCGTGCCTCATGCATGCACACTGGCAAGGCGACTCAAGCTCACACCCAGCTCCAGGAAGTCAGACTGTGGCCCCATTAAGAAACAGCTGATGGGGAGGTGGTGGTGGCAAAAGTGGCAGCAAAAGTGGTGGGTTTACGGAGGTGCTGGGAAAGGGGTGTGCACCAGACCAAGCCAGGGCCAAACCCATAGGACTCTTGTCCTCAGGGCCTCCATGAGTGAGCAGGTCTTCTGCTTTGGCTCCCAGTGGAAGGGGAGATTCGGGGTGCCTGATGGGCTCTCCAGATCCCACCTGCAATCATATGTTGGACCCCACCTAGCTAAGCAGAAATGGAATTACACTGGAGAGAGGCAGGAACTGCCTCGCTCGGGCACAGCAAGATCTCATGGGCCCCAAGGGCTCGTGTCCCCACCTTGCCATTTGGCAGGTACCCCAGATGCAACCTCCCCTGCACACAGCGAAACCCAAACCCTTTGGCTTGCTCCATGGCATCCATGACAAAGAAGAGATTAAGTGCTCAAAGGCACTTTTCCAAGGAGTAGAGGAGCCGGATGGCCCTTGGAAATGAGAAAGGAAGGGCAAGGTTAATGCAACAGTGCCTTGTGGAGAGGGCAATGCCATTCAGGTAGCCCATCCAGTGGGACATGGAGATCGAAAGAGCATCCCTGTCACACACAGGGATGGAATCATAGAGCTCCATGATCATCGCACCTGTTCAATCATCCAGAAAGAGCTTTAGAGGGGGAAATGGACATGAAATGCAACCCCACAAAGTTTCTTTCTGCTGGACTGGGGAGTGTTTCTTTATTGAAGACACTGAGCCAGATTAAGAAGCCTCTAGACTTCTCAAAAATGGGGCATACAGAGAAAGAGAGAGGACAGAGCCTAGGACAGAGTCCAGGCCAGATACAGCACAACCTCACCACCACGGGCATCCAAGAAGGGGGAGTGCCAAACGGTTGACTTAGCCAGAAAGGCCAGCATTGGATTGACAGAGATGCTTGCCACTTCCCGTGTTTCATGCCCTAATCGGGCCCTGTGTCAAGCTGTGGCTAGAT